TGGTAAATCTACCCACAAAGAATGAGAAACTTGACCTTTGCCTTCCTAGGTAGCCTAAAGAATGAGTCTCATTTCATCATCAATGAGCAAGAGGCAGTGGAATGTTGCCTGAGTTGGTCTCAGGAGATCAAGGTTCTAGCCCAAGTTCTGAATGCTAACCAGCTGTGTGACCTTGGGGAAGACACTCCCCTTTCCCGGCCTCAGTTTCTCATCTGTGAAGTGGGACAGGAATGGGAGAAGGGGAACCAGCCCCTCAAGATACCTTCTTCCCACCCTTCTTTGTAGACCATGCTTCCACAGCTCTGGGCCTAGGGGAGCCCATCTTCCCCTTCATAAAAATCAAGTGCCTCCTGCATCCTCGCTCATCCTACTTCCTGCTGCCTCCCCGAGCAGGACCAGCCTCTGGGCCTCCTCCTGTAAAATGTGGACCTCCACACTGACTGGCCGAGGGAGCACTAGCTATAAGATGAGCTGAAAAAGGAGCACTTGATTTGAACTCTTACAGCTTCAACACATCGCATCATCATCCTAGGTGGCAACCATGGGCATAGTAGGCCTTTACTATGTTAGGCACCATGCTCAGAATTTCCTATCACCTCTTGTGGAATCCTTGCAAGAACCCAGAATGCAATGCTGTTATGATCCCTATTTTCACAGATGAAGAAGAAACCAAGGCCCAGAGAAATGAAAGCCATGGGGAGCTAGTGAAGGACAGAGCCGGTTCTGGAAGTCAGATCTCCTGAGCACCTACTCCATTCTTATAGACAGAATGTGGGCTGGTTGGTTGGTTGGTTGGAGATAGGATCATTACAAAATGAGCCCTACTTGTGTCCACTCTGCTGCATAACAAAGAACCCCCAAATCTCGGTGACTTACCACAAATGTGTAATTCTTTTTTGTATGACAAGTAAACTGTGGGCCAAGTGCAGTAAACTGTGGGCCAAGTGCAGGCCAATGATGTGCCTTGAGTCATCTCTAAGGCCCAGGCTAAGGGAATCATTATCTAGGACATCACACACTTACGCCAGAGCTGAAAAATCCCCATTAAAAATCCCCCGCATAATCAAATTGAAATCTTCTGCTTAGAGATGGTACACATTGTACCTGTTCACATCCTACTGGGCAAAGAAAGAGACAGGAGGGCCAAAGCCAACATCAATGGAGCAGGGAGGGATACCTCTCTCACAGGGAAAGGGAGGGGGAAACTACATAGTTTCATAATGCAGTCGGCCATAAAGTGCTGGGTTCTGCAGCCAGATGCATGGGTCTGACCCCCTGGGTCTACCACTTAGGAACTGCTTGGCCTTCAGGAAAGTACATCTCCTCCTGGTGGCTCAGTCTCTTCCTCTGTAAAATGGGGATGGTAATTACAGCACTGCATCAGTCTTCTGGGGCTTCCATCCCAAAGTTCTACAGCTGGGTGGCTTAAAAAACAGAAGCTTATTTACTCCCAGTCCTGGAAGCCGGAAGTCCAAGGTGCTGTCCAAGTTGGTGTCTCCTGAGACTTCTCTTCCTGGCTTGTGGACCGCTACCTTCCCGCTGTGTCCTCGCTGGCCTTTCTTGCATGGGTGTGCTCTGAGTGCTCTTCTGTGTCTCTTCTTTTTCTTACAAGGCTGCCAGTCTGTGGGCTTAGGACCCCCCTTATGACTTCATCTAACCTCAATTACCTCCCCATGGGCCCTGTCTCCAAATACAGTGAGGTTGGAGAGTAGGGCTTCACAAGGACGCGCTGAACAGGAGCTAGGCTGCTCTTAGTGCTTGGTTGTAGCTTGTCCCGCATTAGACTTGAGTATTTCCCTGCAGTGGTGATTTCTCAAAACATTTATGTCTAAGTCCTTGGCACCTACCCCTTGGTGCAGACCAGGTGCTCAGAAAGTACATTTTTGGAATCCCAAAGCGAAGCAGGAGGCAGTTAAGGGGGGCCAACCAGGTTTGGAGAGCCCTGGGCATTGCTAACCTGCTGTGACTTTAGTCACATCACCAGGATCCATCAGTTCAGGACAAGTATTTTGCAATGGCAAGATGTCATTCTCTGTATGGCTGAAGAGTATTCCCTAGTGTGGATGCACCGCATCTTTCTCCAGTCTTCTACTGAGGGACACTTGGGCTGTTCCCATAATTTGGCTAATGTAAATAACGCTGTATGGAGTAATGTATAGAATTGTTGAATCACTACATTGTACACCTCAAACTGATAAAACGCTGGGTGGTAACTACACTGAAATTAAAAAAAAAAAAAAACAATAAGAAAGAAAGAAAAGAAAAGAAAGAAAAGAAAAAAGCCAAAAATTGTGCCAGCAAAATCTCAGCAGATTTCACTTCCTCAGGGCCTTACATGTTGGTGCCAAGGTAATTGGGCAATGTTGAGAACCAAAACCGACTCCAAGAGATCTTTTTACAAAGATGCTGGATGGAAGTCCGAAGTGGCAGTGATTCCCCAAACCCCCTCCCACGCGTACTGTCTCCACCAGTAAAGCACCGTGATGACCCCGCCTGACACGGCTGGGTGTGGGTGGGCATCAGGAGAACTCACTCCTACTGCCTTGTGTCTGGGAAAGCTTCTGGGTCTTGCTCATGAGTCTGGGTGTTCAGCTCAAATGGCCACTCAGAGAGAACAACCAGGCTCGGAGCCAGTGGTTGGGATTCGGTGGTGACCCTCCAAACTCCATGTTTGTTTCTTTTTCTCAATCACATCTGGCCTTGCTTAGGAAGGGCTATGCCTGCGGGTGTTTGTTTAGCAAAGGGATCCACCAGCTAAGCAGAAAAAGATCAGGGACATAGGGACAGCCTGCCTTTCGAAGTCACCGCCTGATGTGGCTCAGCTCAGGTCAACAGTGTCCGGAGTGGTGGCACCATGTACACATTCAGGGCCTCCTCCCAGCTCACTGTTAGTTAATTATTGGCACGATGAATAATTCAGTGCATTTTGACTCTCACAGGCTCAAGTTCCTCATCTGGGCAATGGGAGCAAAATGACACTTTCCATCAGATGTGTCACATCTGGGCTGGAGTAGATGATGACGATGGTGATGGTGATGATGGTGACGATATGATGATGTTGGTGATATGATAGTGATGGTGTTGTGGTGATGATGGTGATGATACAGTGATAATGTTGGTAGAGACAGTGAGGATGATGGTGATGGTGAGGCTGATGAGGATGAGGATGATGATGATGATGGTGATGGAGATGATGGTGATGATGATGGTGAGGGGGATGATGATGACAATGATGCTGATGGTGATGGTGATGATATAATTATAGTGATGGTGGTGTGGTGCTTATGGTGATGATACGGTGATGATGTTGATAGAGACAGTGAGGATGATGGTGTTGGTGAGGATGGTGATGATGATGATGATGATGACAGTGATGATGATGATGATGGTGATGGTGATGGAGATAATGGTGATGATGGTGATGGTGATGGAGATAATGGTGATGATGGTGATGGTGATGGAGATGATGATGATGACGGAGATGGTGGTGGTGGTAGTGATGGTGAGGATAGCCACTTATCCCTTAGAGAGTGCTTACTATCTGCCAGGCATTCCTTAAACATTTCACATATGTTGACTTTAATTGCCTCAGCAACCTGGGAACTAGGCACTATCATTCTCCCCACCTTACAGATGACGAGACTGAGGCACACAGAAGATGCACAGCCAGGAGTGACAGGCTGGTGGTCCCCCAGCCATGGCCGCGATGGCCTTGAGGCTCACCCCATGTTAGTTACACAGGACTATGTCGCCCTCCATGCTCCCCTGCAGGCAGCAGGAGAGAGGGTGCCTGCAACCCATACTGCTTATTCTGGAAAGTAATTACTTTAATTAATTAAACTATGTTATACTTCTCAAAAATTTCTCCTTTTATGTTGTTCCCATGGAGATTTGGAGGCAGGCCATCCCGTCCTGAGCACTGAGTCCCTCCTGCTGGCTGGGGTGGCCTCTATGTAATATTAGCACCCATGGGCCTCTGGGTCATCCATTATTGACGTGCAGAGGTCAGCGAGCTCAGGTCCTCGGGCGCAGGTACGCTCAGGTGAGAGGGAGGGAAAGAAGCCCAGGTGGTCTTGACTATTCAGAAAGTTCTTTTCTTTCCTGCCTTGGCAGCACACATACTAAAACTGGAATGCTACAGAAACTTCTCTGCATCCCCACTCCCAGGGGGAAAGCATTTCACATGCCTCACAGGTGACAAGAGCCAAGACAGCAAGCGACTGAAGCTGCTACAAGCTGGGGGTTATTATTCATGCCACGGTGGAGGGGAGCATTTTCATCCATCCTTATTACTGTTTAGAAAGTCCCCCCTCCCAGCATCTAGGGGAAAAAAAGGTAAAACAATAATAACACCTCCCTAATTCTCAGATTCATATAACCTCTCCCTTCGCTAAATGCCCAGCTGATTCCTGCTGGTTAGAATGTTCTAGAATCAGACTCTTGCCCCACCTCTGTGTGATCTGGGACTCGCCACTAGCCCTGTTGCAAGTGAACCTGAAAAGTCCTCTGTCCTCTGCTGTTGGGGCAGAATGGCTTCCAGCCCCGGCGCTCTGCTGCTCACTGCTCCTGAGGCCCCACCAGGGCACTCTGTGTGAGCCTCAGTTTCCTCCCTGGTCTGACAGGAAGCTGGAACTGCCTCGGGCTGCCATGAAAGGCTGTGGGTGTAGAGTGGCTAATCCTGCCAGGCGCATGAGGGATCCCCGAATGAGCGCACCCCCCACCCCCGGTCCTGGGTCTCGGGCAGGAAGTGGTCTCAGAGATCAGGCGGTACGAGGTTTTCACTTCAGGGTTTGGAGCACAGAGCCTTGCCACTCGCTCCCCTGACTCTGACCCAGCGCTCTGAAGGTAACTATTGTTCTCTCCCCTCAGCAGGGTCAGACAGGGCTCTGCCCTCAAAAGAGCACTTCCTGTGTACATGGCTGGCACTCTCCAGGGAGATCTTCATGCCTTCTCGCTGTCGTAAGTCTGAGTATTCTTTTTTCCTATTTTTCAGATAAAGAAACGGGGTCTCAGAGAGGTTAAGGAATTCCCCCGAGGTGACACAGCTGGTAAGTGGCAAAGCTGGGATTCGAACCCTGCTCTCTGTGATTTCAGAATCTGTGCTCTTAACTGCCTGCTCTTTCTGCCGTGAACTGTTGAAATGGTTGTCCACACCACACAAGTGGGGGAGACCTGTGACCCGGGATTTGTATCTCTCGCTGTGCCTCTTGCGGTACCCAGGACACAGTAGGCTCTCCAGACATCCAGGATGTTTCGAAGGCTGTCCTTTCTAATCCCAGACGGTGGGGCAGTGTTCAGGGGATGGGACGTTCCTCTCATCTTCAGAAAGTTCTGGTTAACCGAGTGCGTTCCCTTTTTGCCACATTCAAACACATATGGCACGAGAAATGCATTCTGTGCCTGATTATAAAGCCTGTCTCGTGTTGTACAGGCAGACCATACGGATAGATTATTTTGACGGTGGACGTGTCTTTGTGATTCAGAAAGTAGGACACTTGACTTCTCGGTGGGAAGGGGGGCAGGCAGGTGGCGGAGGTGGAGTCCAACGTGGGCCTGACGCCAACTCGGGCCCCCAGCGCCCTCCTCCCACATGCCCTTGGTGGCCTGCGGGGGGCTAACCCACTCCCTCAGGTTTTTCTGCAACCTCACCGTGGCTCGGACAATCCCTGTTTTCTCCTGGTCCCACTGCTTCTCCCGCCCCCTCCCGCCCGTCACTGAGGGTGCCAATCTCCACTTCCTCGTCCTTGAAACCCACTCTGTTGTTTTCACAAGTTTTCCTAGAACCTGTTTGTGAAAACTCTTTGAGAACGAACAAGCCCCATTTAGTAACGTGACCGCAGATTAACTGCCTGATTAGGCCTCTGGAGTCTCAGAGAGCACTCTGGGTGGGGGCGGAGAGGGTGTGACTTGGCTTTGCAAACTAGCTTCCGGGGTGGTGAGACCCCACGGCCGGTCTGAGGGATCTCCCCCACCACCTCGCCGGGAAGAGCGGTTGAAGTAGCAAGTTTCTGCTTGGGGAAGACCCGAGTTTCAAGAAAATTTGAAAACCGCTCGCTAAAATAATGTCCTCGTCCTGAAGTCTGGAGAGCTGGTTCTAGGCATGGCTCTGCCACGTGACACTATGTGAATTTTTAAAAATATTTATTTTCTGTTTTATTTTGTATTATTATTTTATTTTATTGCACGCGTGCATATTTTTATTTCTTTAATTTTTTTTTTTCGCTAAGTGTGTTCCCATTGCTGGGCCTCAGTTTGTTCATCTGTACAGTAGGGATTCTTGGCTGTGGTTTCCCAGCCAGAACGGCAGTGAGGTTTTGATGATACTCACACAGATGCTCCTGTTCCTGAGTTGACAAAGAAAAGCCATCAGGGCAGGGAACTGAGAAGGGGGTGGTATTTGATAAAACAACCCCATCCTCCGTGGGTACCCTGGTCGGGACAGACCCAGAGCCACACACACACACACATGGGGGACACTGAGCCCCTCCATCCCCATGGCTGACATTCCGCCCTTCCCTGGAAGTCACTGAGAGGCTCCAGACTCTCTGGGAACCAGGCCCGTGCGCCCCACCCAGGAGAGCCACGTGTCCCCATCTACGCTGTGTGCCCCACATCCTGCCTCGGCCACAGAGGACCGACCCCCCGGGGCAGGACCCAGGCCTGCATGCCGCAGCTCTCGACAGCTGCACAGATGCACAGTGTGGTTTTATGGTATTTTTGGTTTTGTTGTTTTTTCAAAAGCCAACGGAAGTCTGTAGGCCGAGCTCGGCCTTCCCTTCCTAAGGGTGGCTGATCTGCCCAGTAGGAGACAAAGAGGCCCCCAAGACAAGGGCCCGGTTGAGAGGGCACCTGCGCTGAGCTGCACGCTGCCCTGGGCCATCCGTGGGCGGGGCTGCCTTGAGGTTCTCAGTGTCGCCATCCCATTTCCCATATGAGGACCCGGAGACCCCACAATGATCAAGGACCCCCCCGTTCCACCTCTCCCTATGCACAAACCCACAGGAACCTCTGCTTTCTGAGCTCTGAGCACTTTCACCCTACCTCTGGCTCGCACATACTGTGGGAGCCCACCGTTGTCCCCCGCATGGGGGACGCAGCAGGCAGGGTCATAGGTGACATTTCTGCCCTCCTGGTGCAGGGAGACAAAGCCAGAAAGAAGAAATTCTGTATACAATGAAGTGTCATCTTGCGATTAAGTCTGTGATGGGAAGTGCAGTTGAGCCTGGGGACAGTGACAGGTATGCTATTTTAGGGTGATCAGGGAAGGCCCCTCCAAGGAGCGTTTTTGGGCAAAACCATAAATATAGCCAGGGAGCAAACGATGTGGATTCTAGGGTAAGAACATTCTACGCAGGAGAGGACAGCGTGTGCAAAGGTCCTGGGACCAACATAGCTACCAGCCTCGATTGTCTTCTCCATCTGCCTCCCTCCATGTGTCTGCAGGGGTGAGGCAGGTGGTTGTGGCTGTATAGCGAGAAAAATCGAACAGAACTGAATGGGGCAGAAGGAAGGTGTGTATCTAATAGGAAACTACTTGTCTCGTTCCTTAATCTTTGCACTGTCCACTCTTGGGTGACATTTGAAATAGTTCCATACTTCCAATTGTTCCTCGCTTTGTATTTTTTCTCAAACCACATGTTTGAGCCAGACTCTGTTACACTACTTCAGGCTTGTTTTTCTAAGCCAGACGGGAGCCTGGATTTCAAAACAACAGACATAGAGCAAGAAATTGTGCTGGGGCTGTACCACAGACCTCAATCTGATCTCAGGAGAGGAAGTCCCACCCGGCAGAGCCTGGGGTGGGGGTGGGGCTAGGGAAAGGGCCAAGGCAGGCACAAAGGTGTCCCGGCAGGGCCATTAGTGGGCTGTGATCTTGGGCAGACTCATCCTGCCTAGGGGTTACTTCTGCTGCGATCTGTGAGGATACTGACCCCTTTCTGGCACCTGCTGGAACAGCTCATGGACCAGGTGTGCTGGAAGGATCATATTTGGAGAGTTAGGGACTCCTGGTTCTAGTCTTAGAGCCAACACAGAACTCATACACAATTTTGGGCAAGTCACATCCCCTCCCTGAGCCTTGGTTTCCCCACCTGAAAAAGGAAGCAGAGAGACATGGTCCTCCCCATGTTCCTATGTGATCCTGAAACACCACAAGCCTTTGCCTCCGAGGCAGGTGGCAGCCAGGCATTGAGATAGAGCCTTCCAGCAGCTCCCCTTTGATAATGTAGGCCTGGGGCTCTCAGCAGAGGGATGCCCAATGCCGGGGGCATGACCTTGGCAGTCCTGCCTCAGGCATTCAGTTAAGAAATTCAAGCAGCCGTCACCTCTCCTGATCTGGGCTCTGTGGCTGTGGCACCAGAAATTCATTTCCAGGAGCAGAGGAATGTCTCTCTTTGCTTGGGGCCCAGAAGGACTTATTAAGTGTTCCATTAACTGAATCTCATTCAGCTGGAAAAAGAATAATCAGAAAGCAGTTCTGCCTGGTTACTGGCCTGTGAACCCCTTGACAATTTCCCAGAAGGAATGCTCCAAAAAGCTCCCATACATAAGACAACCCAGCCCTTCCTGCTATCTCCCCGAGGAGCAGGCAGCGTGGGGGTCGACCAGCAAGCCCATCGTGAGTCAGCATCATTGGTGCATCCCTCTGTCCATCTACCCATTAAGCAGGCCCCCATGTGGGTACAGTACCAGAGACCTTGAACTAAATGAGACACAGCCTGTGCTCTCAGTGGCAGGTCAGGCCCCGCCTGACGACCTTCCTGGTTTGGTCGAACTCCAGAGAGTTCATGGCTGAGCTGACTATAAAGGTCACAAAAATGTAAATATTCAGAAACGTTCTCCTCTCTGTGTTAATCTGTCTTCTACAGTGTCCGCCCCAAATTCATTGGCTTGGCTTTCTTAAATCACATCAAATTCTCTTTTGCTCCCTTCCCTTCCAGTACATCCTCATCTCACAAGGATTTGGGGGGAAAGGAAGGGGAGGAATCCAGGGAAGCGTTCCTGGGCAGGTGACACTCGAGACACACAGTTCACCTGCTGGCGGACCTGTGGGCCAGAAAAGTCGCTCCATCAGCAAGGGCATTATCCTGATGATAAAATACAGCGTTTTGTAGCAGACAATAAATGAGCCATCTTTTGGTCCCAGAAAGACACTACCTCATGTTTCACAGTCATTTGCTGCAGGCGCAATGCTGAAGAATGATACAGATAAAGGACCGGTAGGGCCTTGCATTCTTAGCCTGCCCAGTAAGACACCTGGGAGTGCCAGAGACCCGTAGAGTAGCGCTCTTGACAATAGGGTGGTATTGAAAATGCCAGGATTTGAATCCTAGGTCTGTCACCTACTAATCGTGAGATGAGGTAAATTTGTAATTGCTCAATGTCTTTTAGCCTCAGTTTTGTTACCTGTGAAATGGGATAGTACCTACCTTTCAGATGATTATTCAAGATTATGTAAGATCGCTGTTCTAGGAACACGGTTGGGAACAGAGTCTGCGTTCAAGGAACATAGTTGTATGGAGAATCTTCTCAGCAGTTCATAAGTATATCATGTTGGAAAACAGCTGGGTGAAATGCAGAGTGTGACAAACATCACGATTCAGGGGTGCAGATGGTGCAGGGATAGTCTCTCCAAGGAGTTGACTTGGGACCCAGCATCCTAAGTGATGGCTAGTCTCCGGCCTGCCCACAGGTCCTGTGCTTGTCGTCTTGCGGAGGGCACGCAGCTGGAGAGTAGAGTGACCAAAGAAAAGGCGTGGAGAGTGGAGTCAAAGTAGGCAAGGACCAGGTCTAGAAGGATCTTGCAGGCTTGTGGCAAGAGCCTTGGATTTCATTTCTGGCATGAAGGGAACCGCTGGAGACTTTTGGGTAGTGGGAGGCATGCTTGGAGAGGACCATGGAGGGGCTGGAAAGCTATGGTCCTGACTGAGTTTATCCTGTTCCCCTCTTGCTGACTGAGAAGCTAGCCTGTTGGTGTGTCACGGATCCTGACAGGTGCCGTGAGGCTCTGGGATGTGGGCAAGGGCCGTCGTGAAGAGCGGGGTGTGGC